TTCCTAGCAATTGGACTGGAGGAGAAGGGCACTGCGCCTTATGTAGCTTCTGTCTTGGGCACTCTTCCCCTCCTGGTTCCCAGTCAGCAGAAAGGTTGGAGGGGGATTCAGAAGCTGACTTGAGGTCTCTCAAATCTTAGTCACACATGTTCAGAAGGCAAACAGAGTGCAGATCAGAGGGACTGCAGCTTGCTTCTCTTTCCCCTTGTTTATATTTAATATTTTATCAGGTGAAATGACTAGTGTTCACTCTCCTTTCTCCTCCACTATGGTGCATGTGTATGTCTATATTTTTACTACCTGAGTGCAGTGTCAGTATATGTGCTGTATACAATACTATGGGACACAGTCTGTCCAGCTGTTCTCCTTTTACACCTCAGGCATGGTGCAGAAGGAGCAGAGACTGAATACAATTATTGCTATTAGAGTCCCTAATAGGCATCATTCATTCCTAGCATAGGAGCTGGGGAGGGGCAAGCAGGGGGAATGGCCATAGCACACCAATTCAGCAGTCCCCAGACCTCATATGGTCACTTGGGGATGACAACTAGCCATCTCAGGTTGCAGCAGCCCCTCCACTATGGATACTGCACTGGAGCTGGACAGAGAATGAGGGAGCTGTAGCTTTCTCCCTAACAGCCCTCCCCATCTCACTGCTGTGTCCCATTTTAACTTGGCACAGCAGAGACTGTGACCCTGTGTGTAAGAGTCAGTGATAGCAATTGTTATATTGGGTCTATGTTACAGTTCAAGTAAGATATGATATAAAAGTAAAGCCAGGGACCTGATGGATTTATCTAGCCCCTCGGTAAAACATCAATAAGCAGTTATGAGGGGGGTTTAATAGAAGACTTCTGGAACTATGTGCATAGTGAACATGCCTTTTCTCGAACTGAGTGCTCTGAGTTAAGTTAGCGAGATCTATTGTTTTTCAAGTCTTAACTTGCCAATGATTGACCAGTCAAATAAAAGTCCAACAGCAGAAATCACAGTGCTAGATACCGAATTCCTCATGGTCCCAAAACATCTGTCAAGATCTTAGAAAGCTAAATGGATGCCAAACAATTAATAGAAGCTTAGAAGTTAGATGGAAAAGACCTTAGATCTTCCAATTCCTTTCCCCATAGATGCAGGATTGAATAGTTGTGTACCAAACATAATATCATGAAACAGAGAAAATCACACGGCCAGAAACCAACATGGACTTGGAAAAAAATGTGTCCAGCTGAGATTTAAAATAAATACATACAAGAAGAGTGGGCAAAAATGGCTAAGATATAATAAATTCTGGCCTAATCTTCACCCAATATTCAAAATTTCTGAGGTTTGAAAAAGGGTGTCTGTTCTCTTCCCCACCCATTGTTACTCATTCCGCTGTGCTGCCTAGTTAAAGCTAAGGTAAGAAGCAGAATATCTGAAAGCACCAGCTTCCCAGTACAGTATCTGGAAACAATAGAAAGAACCCTCCAAAAAACCCAACAATCCCAAACAACACAACACCTGCAATATGTCACACACAACACAAGCAACACCCAAATCCCTGAAACTAAAACCTGAGCCAGTCCAGGTAAAACAAGTCAGCAAAACTGAACACACATGCAAAAGATCCCAAGAGCAATAAGATGTGACAAAAGAAAGCCACAGTTATGGATGAACTTATCTGAACAGAACAGCTTTGCATTATTCTGATGTGACAGACAGATGTGGGCGGAATTCCTCAGTGAAGTAATACCATGGTGCTATAGAGGTGACCTGGACAAACATTTTGGGATAGAGAACAAAGGCAACACAGCTGAAATCTGGAAAGATGTAGGCAGGAAATAGGAAGAACCAAAATTCTCAGAAGAAACTCTTGGTTACCTGAGATTTCTAGTCCAGTTTTGCAGCCAAAAGAGGGCTAGAGAGTAAAGTACGGTTGAGATAAGCATTTAATTTGGGGGGTGGGGTGGGGGGGGTTAGTCCAAATCTTTTGAGGTTCATTGTTCACTAGCCACAATCTGTCTGAAGGGTTGATAACTAAGTCCTTAGACATTATTAGTGACCTGAACATTCACTGGTGCAAGAATGCACCTTTTATTTTTGAATGATAGTTCAGCGACTTGTTTTAAGAAGGGAACAAACCATTTAGACAGGCTTAAAAATATGTTAGTATAGTCATCTGTACTCAAATGAAGCATATTGATGACAAGAAAATGCTCCTAGTCTTCCTCCTCCTGTGGCTATGACCATCATCATTCTGTATATAAGATGTTATGAACTAATTTCTTGGGTACATATGTCTCAGATACTAGGATCATTAAAAACAGTAAGATATGTTACAGTTCTTGTAATTGCTACTTCTAGTATATCCTAAGTGTCAGCCTCTTCCCCTCTTCATCAGTATTTAGTGTGTACTAACCACACATGTATGTAGTCATTATAAAAAAAAAGCATATGATCTTGGTATCAATTTTAGAACACTAAGATTCTTCCGAGAAGCTAAATTACTGTAGTTATTGCTGTCAGTTTCGTTAACATGTATTTTATTTGCTTTTCAGCCAAACCGGAAATCTCCATTACCCTCCAAAATAGTTCCAGTGGCAACGTTGGGGAGGTGAGTGATTTTAGAATTGACAGAACGCTCAGGGACCACAGGAAGTCACATCAGTGATTTAAATTCAGTATTTCATGTCCGTTCATCTGAGCTATTAGTGAACCAGCTTATTGGTTTGGAGCAGTGTGATTGTAAAAGATCCCAGAACATTTTTGCAAGAGTAAGTATGTTGACGCTTGACTGCACCTTCATACGCATCCAGGAGGGAGTTGTTGAGGATGATCCAAGGGGATATTACTAGCAGTTTTGGTGATAAGAAACTGAACAAAGGAAAATTGAGGCTGTTTATCAGGAAAATGTCTTTATAGAAAGCTCTATTAGTCTGTGGAACAGCCTCACAGGGGAACTGGTGGAAGCTCCCCAAATCACTCGGATAATTAGCTACTAATGGTTGATTAAAATTGATTGTTGGTAGGGTAAAAATGAGATGAGGCAAAATACCAAAGTTTGCTGTTTACTGTAGGGAACAATTCTGCATGGCCTTTGGGGGTATAAGGTAAAGGGAGATGAGTACGAACAAAATCAGAGATAATAGAACCGGTAAGCTCATGAAAAATAGACAAAATGCAAATCCAAATCCTTTGCTAGTGGGCCCCTTGAGCCAAAGAAGAATTTCAGCAAGCCTGCCTGATGAATTTGTCACTGGATTGATCAAGATGAGGTTGCTGTTTTTCCCCAGCTATGTTTGCCTCCATCCCAAACCATTGAAAACACTTTAGAAATTGCTGTGAAGCTCAGTTTTTCCTCGAGATTTTAAGCCAAACCCTGGGTCCTTGCAACAGCTATGTTCCAATTATAGAAAACTCATAACTCAATTATTGTGTTAGCCACTCACATTTCCTTGTGTTATCTGATGGTGGAAGGAGGCAGGGAGATTGTCTTCCCACATGGATAGATTCCTGGAAAGCCAGTTAATTGTATGAACTGCAGGCACTAGCTCGCTGGGAGTAATACTGCCTAAAGACATTTAATAGCATTTTTGCCATGTCACTGAGCACAGCTAGACAAAAGTGGCTGTGGAATCAGTATATTTTAAAAGGAGCTGGAATTCCACTTTGCACTCCAGTTATGTAACAGTCCAGTTTCCAGTTATGTAACAGTCCCCCTGGGGCTTTTTTACCAGCCAGTGCAAGTTGAAACAGCCCTTTAGCTACTCTAACTTCCCTTGGGCTCCGACCAGTCCTGGCTATCCCCAACCGGCAGGCAGGACCATGAGAGAGACCCGGCCCCAAACATGGGCCCCCAGGTCCTGAATATTGCTGGATCCCGGGCACCATAGGCCCATACAACTCGCCACCCCTGCCAAGATTAAGGTGGAGGTGTCCGTGTAGAGGTGACACAATACTTACTAGGGTGACCAGATGTCCTGATTTTATAGGGACAGTCCCGATTTTGGGGTCTTTTTCTTATATAGGCTCCTATTACCCCCCAACCCCGTCCCAATTTTTCACACTTGCTGTCTGGTCACCCTACACAATACCACCTTTGCTCGATCTATGTTTGAAAAGTGCGTCTTGTGTCTTAAATTGCCACACTCATTGCCTAATGGCAGCCCTATTGAGTTTCTAAGGCACATCTCTCCATTTATCACTACCCTCTGCCCACAGTAATGTAGCTAGGGCACATGGCTCACATTGTCAGCGGAATCTTTACCCAAATTTTACAGCTCGGATCATATTTAGCATAAAACGGATCAGTCACCCAATGACCAGCTGGTGACAGCATTGTCATTAAATCTGTCTGCATAGTTTGACCAGCCAGATTTAGCCTTTTGAGCCGTAGACACCTGAAATAAGTTCTGTGAACTGAAGAGTCTGTTCTTCTACGAAAGGCTGTCAGCAGACAAAACCTACATAAGCCACATCCATCCTGCTTTCAGATTAGCCACATGTCAGACACAGAGCATAGGACTGTCATAATTTCCCCCATGACCTATTTCAGTGCTGAATTTTCAATACCACAGTCTCGTTTGTACCATTCTGCTTATGTTCAAGAGGTTTTAATTCTTCTCCCCCCCTCCAAATATTGAACACCTTCCTCCTCTGTTTTAGTCCCCCAAAAGGAATAAAATCCAGTCTGGACAGCAGATTGGTACTTGCCAGTAAGAAGCACTGATAAATGAGATTATAGTTCAGAAAGGACAAAGGGCTGTGGGGAGATCAGAAGGAAAAAGTACAGCATGATTTCAGAGATGACATATCACAAGAAAAATATTTCAGTCTCCATCCTGAATGTGTGGTTTGTAACCATTGTGACGCATTTGGAGTCAATTTACATGCCTTGCTTTCTTCAGAAGGGATGGATGTGTAGTGTGTGACTACCCCATAATAAAACAAACTTCTTGCTTTAAAGTAGAAGAAGGCTGAGCTTCCTTTAGCACTTCAAAATGTTAAAGCAAAATTCATCTAGTGCAACGCACAGGCAGCACTGGCATGGTGAGACTCCACATGCTCACTGTCCATTGATATGTCTATGCCCCAATGTGGAGGCACCCCCTCTAGAGAGAGGCTAGTCCAATCTTCAGGCCTACCCAGTCTTTGCCTTTTGTTGGCTGCCATGAAACCCAATTAGGGGGTAAATGTGTCATATGCTTGGGAGTAAGTATGGTCTGTCCTTTGCTATTCCACGCAGGGTGCAAAACATAGGCTTATGCATGTTTCTGTAATCTTTGACATACGTGTGCCCCGTTCTATGGTAGCTAGTTCTATGTACTTGGCACATCCTTGTGCCAGGCAGTCTTTCTGAGGACCTATCAGGATATCTGAAATAAAGGAGGCTGTTCCATAAACTTCCCTTTTTCTTTAGTGCATTGTCTGGACCTAGCTGAATTCTTTCCTTATACAATTGTTTGTTTTGTTTTTTTTAAATATGGATATCTATCTATCTGCTAGGAAAGTACTGAGAACACCATCTCCTCTCTCTCAAGCCACTAACAGAATTGGATAATGAATTTCAATCCTCCCAACCTGGCCCAGCTTTCACTTAAAGATCTTTATTGAGGGTGAAATGATTATACATTCCATTTAGCAGTCCCTTGAGCTTGATAAATCTTACCTTTAGTTTAGAAATAGAAAGAACTAGATAAGAAATGTCGTCATCCTAAAAGAGAAGTAAATGGTTTTTACTAAATGGGAATGGCCAATATGTTAGTACAATTTTTTATTATTATTTTTGTAATGAATATTTCAGTAATGCGAATCATGTCCGAAATGTTTGGACTGATAACTTGATTTATTCTTACTATCCTATAGGCTAGTCTTACCTGTATTGTAAGGAAGGCATTTCCCAAGCCGAGCCTCACATGGTATGTGGATGGAGAGATTCTTAAAGACCAATTTGGAGGTAATAAATTTTAATCAGAAATAATATTCTTATAAGCCAAAAGAAAAGCAATTGGTGCTGCATTATGCATGTTAAGTGGAGGGTTGTGGGTACCCATTTCAGTGCAGAAGGAACATCCTTACGTCCAGGGAAGAATAGCTGACAAGCAGTGATGGCTCCCATGCAACAATTCCATTCGTGGAAACGACAACTTGGAACAGGCGTGTTTATCTGATTAAATCTTTGTACCAGATCTGAGTTAAACTGTATGAGTTTGTTTTTCAGAGCTAGCATTTTGCACTGCTCTGATTTATGGGACAGAGCATAAAAGAAGGACTAATGGCTTTTCCATCTTACTTTCAGGAATATCTATTGAAGCTGAAAATCTACAAGATGGTGAAGGTTTCTATGAATTGAGATCAATACTGAAGATACAAAGTACAAACCAGTCAGACACTAATCAGACTTTCTGGTGTACGTGTAGTTTTCCCTTCCGAGGGAATAAAACATGGAATATTTCATCTGGAGAAATAGTAATTTCTTCTGGTAAGTCATCTTTAATTATGACACATCTGAAATCTAAAATATTCAGAACACAGAATGCATTGAGCTTTCTGTAACTTAAAGTAAGAAAAAAAAATGCCAGGCTCAGGGAAATACAAGCTTGTATGTATAGAACTTACATGAGCATGTGTCAGGCAATACCGCGTGCACAGTTTCAAGGTAAGACCTTAACAGTGCTAAGGATCTGTCAAATATAAACTACAACGGTTTAAAAAAAACAAGTTGGCTTCCACACATGTGGACGGGAACTCATTCCATTTATTATTACACCACTGCCTGCTACAGTCTTGAGCTAAGTATACACTGGCTTAGCTACAAGGCACCAGTACATTATTATTAACAAGCATTTTTCAATGTGCACTCCTGGGGAAAGGCATGCATGTGCGCAATGAAGCTGTCTGGAAAGTCAAGCCTCTCAGAGTTAAGGCCAGATTATGTGCAGTGAGAGTAAGGGATGAAAAAGGCTCTGAAGACAGTCAAGCCAATAGGTAGGATGCGTGGAGCCCTCTCTGCATTCCATTAACACCAGCTGGGTGCCTTCTATTCCACTATTGTGGAGTTGAATGGGGAACTGCCCTGCATTAAGTAGTTGAAAGCCTTCATGGACATGGGGTCATAGCAGCCTAGAGAGTAACTGCATTCCTGGGGATGCCGTAATGACTGGGGGGCATCTCTTTTCTGACTCCATAATTAAGGAGGGGGTAGCAGTCCACTGACATGCAGATGCATGTGCACTGTTTCTCTGCCACCCACATTCCTCCCTAGTGCACAGACTTTGTATTTGTTGCTGTGATGAGGACACGATTCATTCCTTAGTGACCATTCCTACTATGTATGTCCAGTCTTAACTTTAAAATGTTAAGACTGGACATACATAGTATGTTGTTTTGTTGCTTTGCAGCCAGTGTTGGTCACATTTAGTTATGGGGGTGCTTCCCAGTGAAGAATGTTTACATTCCAAGATTCAAATCTTAGCCATTTTGAAAGGTTTCTGCAGGGGAAATACGTGTGTGGAGGGACTGTCATATGTACATAATTTAAAATAACTGAAAAGATTTTTAAAAGTAATCTTATTTTAAAACACCAAATATTGATAATGTCAGCCCCACAATCGATCAAATCAAGGATTTCCAAACTTGACTGTAGGATTTACTAATACCAACATAAAGCTCCTCTATGCAAAAACTTACAAGTTTTTTTAAAAAGGAAAAATCATAGTGTTACTGAGATAGCTGCAATGTGAGGCTTTTACCTTGTGGCACACGACAAGTGAATTATTTTTAAGATCTTATTATAAACACAAGTTTATTGTCTTATTTAAGAACTGATTTTATTTGGCTATTCCCAGGCCATGTATATAACAAAGTGCCATTTCCAGCTTTTACAACCACAGCTACAAAAGGTAAGATAAATTACTCTTCACTACATTTAGTATCATGTTATTTGTTTTCCAACTGGTGTGCCCATATACAAGTTTCTAATGCTCTGTTTTCCTGCTGGAATAGTGGGCACCCAAACTTGCCATAGCATTTCTGAATGGACTGAACAGTATAGTTAGAATACTCTGCTTTTGTGCAATTATCAGAAGTTCAGAAAATAACAAAAGACTTAATTGTTGTGCTACCATCATAGTTGCACCATTTTGAGCTGTAATCTATGATCGCTAATTCTCATAAGCTAAGCAGAAAGTTACTCTTTGAATGGGAGGTATTTTAAGGAACACTGAAGGTGCTTCTGGAAGTTTGGGTTGGCAGTTGAATAGGTGGCTCTCAGTATTGAACTGATGCCTGAGAAGAACATTAGGCGGCTACTGTGCTATTAACAACACTTCATTCTGATTAGGCCCACTACCAAGGTCCTATACACTTGTGATTTTTAAAGAGTTGATGGCACATTTCACAACAGTCTGGTTGCTAATTCAGGTATCCTTTTTGACCAAATTCTTGCTTTCTGTCACTGTCAGTTCTGCTGATAGTTTCAACTAGACAAATTATTCTTCACATCCCCAAACCTAGCTGCTGTTGAGTAGTATGGTTGGAGCAAATACTCCAGTGCGTTCCACACTAGAGATGACTACATTTCAGTGATTTTTTGAGTGATCTGCATGTATGTATATATGTATGTGTCTATGTAGTCTGTATGTATATAGAAGAATCAGTGCATATTGAACTTGGAAAAGGAGTGTCCAGTGCCCTGGTAGGCCAATAGTTTAAGAGGCAGTGAACACTTATGATCATGAAAAGTGCTGCTGTTAAGTCATTGGTCTAATCCAGGTATGGGTTATATTAAATTTAAGAACACAAGAATGACCATACTAGGTCAGACCAATGGTCCATCTAGCCCAATATCTTGTCTTCCAACAGTGTCCAATGCCAGATTCTTCAAAGGGAATGAATAGAACCAGGCAATCATTCAGTGATACATCCCTGGTCATCCAGTCCCAGCATCTGGCAATCACAGGCTTAGTGACACCCAGAGCATGGGGTTGCTTCCTTGACATTCTGGCTAATAGCCATTAATGGATTTATCCTCCATGAACTTATTTTTTTTTTAAATCTAGTTATAGTTTTGGCCTTCACAACATCCCCTGGCAATGAGTTCCACAGGTTGACTGTGTGTTGTGCGAGGAAGAAGTACTTCCTTTTGTTTGTTTTAAACCTGCTGCCTATTAATTTAATTGGGTGAGTCCTGTTTCTTGTATTATGTGAAGGGGTAAATAACTCTTTCTTATACATTTTCTCCACACCATTCATGAGTTTATCTATCATATCCCCCCTCAGTCATCTCTTTTCAAAGATGAATAGTCCCAGTATTTTTAATCTCTCCTTATATGGAAGCTAAAAACAGTACCAGATGAAACAAGAAGAAATTTCAATCTGCGCAGAGAAGCCTGCTGTCTCCTATTAGCTAACATATAGTGGCTTTTTCAGATACAGTGCAGTGCATTCTGCAGTATAGATCAGAATTTCAATTTCAAGGCTTTACTCCTAGTTATGCATCCTTGTAGCAGCCTAAATGATTCCCCTTCCTCCTTGGTGTTCACTAGAATTATACAAACCCTACAGAGTCCAAGTTACTGTAGGCACATGAACCTGCAGTGTTTTGTGGACGGGAGCTGTCAACAGCACAGCCCCTGCTTGAAGATTCTTGTTATACAGAAAAAGAACCCTCATCCTCTTCCCCTTCACAGCAGTTGGTCCTCCCCTCCTGTTTCAAGGACATCATGCTTACCTTGGACTGTTGGTGGCCTACTCCCCTCCCACTGGGCTTCTCCTTGAGCTGGATGTGGCCCACCCCTCAAGGGTGTATGGAAGACTCCCATGGGGGAATGGCCTTCTGGTGTCACCAGAATACACAGGGGAAAGGAGAGCGGACTTGTTCTGGCTGTAGAACCTGGTCAATAGCATCTGTAGTACACATACTTAAACCTGGCCTAAGGTTTGCAAAACAAGTGATGATGTCAGCGGGGTTGAATATCTGTAGCAACGTTGCACACAACCCTTAGGTTGACCACATTTGTTTACTTGTTAGCATGCTCCCCCATGCTCCCCAGCATGCGCCCCTGCTAGAACGGCATGAATAGAAGAATGGCTTTCAGCTTTTCCTTACTTATGAGTCTCTGCATCTCCTGATTATATTGATTCTCTGAAAGATAAGTGTGAGGTTTTGTAAATTGCCTTGTGCCTTTGGAACCGTTAGTGGCTCTATTTTCAGGAACATAATAAATGACGCTGCTGTACTGAAAAAGCTATTTAAAAGTCCTTGTTGGATTTGGTTGCTTATAGATCCTGGAATTTCAACATTTCCATCAACAATCATGGCTACCACAGGTAAAATATTTCATCCTATTTTTCTGCTAATAGATTCTTATCTGTACTTGACCTGTGCTTACACATCAGGCACACAATGAGGCAAGACTGAGAATCACATTTCAGAATGTGTTCATGCTCTAGTGGTACCCACTCACACTGAGAAATGGTGTAATCCACAGGGCTTTTTTCAGTCTGGCCCTTCCCATATTGGCTATGATCTTAACTAAGTCAGAAGAGGCATGACACAAATCTTGGGAAAATTCTCAATCACTTTTACTTGATAGATTAAAAAAAATAGACTGTTGTGTTGTATAAAAGGATTGTTACACACATTTACTGAAATTAAAAAATAAAGTAGAATACTTTACAAAAATTGTATTACTACTACAGATAATTGATATGGTGGTAATCGAGAGGAGATAGACCAGAAGTTAAAACTACCCCTGCACTCAAACATCATAACTGCACGTCTTCACTATTAATATGAGCCATATGTTCCATATTTAGTATTAGTGTATTCATCAGATATGTCATCAATATTAAGTTCCTACCTTCACTGCCAGGTTTCTTGATTTCACTTTCCTGTTTGGTCCAATTCTGCATCCCCTAACTCAAATGGTACAACATGACTATTGGTTGGTAAAATTAGTTTTATGTGTGGTTCTTAGTTGACAGGAATCCATCAATATTTGCTTAGAAGTTTCAATTGATTATGACCTCATTGTTGCAACTTCATGGATATGTAATCCAGATATGTTAGCATGGGCTACATATAGTGTTATACAAAGGAAAGCCTTTCTGTAGTGACTACTTAATAGGTCTAATTAATAATGCCACCATTCCTGGGCTAAAAGAAGCTTAGAGATAATGGTATAATTTTCATCTATATCAGTTATTGTGTCCTGCCTCTCCTTCTAGAAGAGTTTGGAAAACACCAGACCTGCTTGGTAAACCAAGATGTCAAGGCTAAAACTGCGAACGAAGACCTTGTTTAAGTAAACTGAAAGTGGGACTAAAGAGCATACAGCACTCACCCCACACACAAACCTAGCAACCTTAGATATTTAAAAATAGTGTACGCAGCTAGCCTATTCAAAAAAGTATTTCTATTATTATCCGCAGCCTCCTTCTCTGCCTGTCTTAAGTTTCTACATTTATGTAATGCCTCTGCTCTTAAACTTAAATAGACTTGGAGCAGAGTCTCCAACTGTATGTTAGCACGGGGCCTAGTACAATAGCCTTGACCTTGGTTGGTTACTCTAGGTACTACTATAATATTAATACTAAACACGCCATGAACTAAATGCCTTATCACATAATATTTCTTTTACATAGGACTTCAAACTACATCTTCAACTTCCCTAGACTTCACAAGCCCAGTAACCTCTGAATCTGTTTCCACTGCACAAAGTAAGTATCATTCAGTCTCATTCTTGTGTCTGAAATGTTTTCTATTTTGCTGCAGGAATTAAAGAAAAAAGTTAAATACAGACAGACACTAAATAACTGACATCAATTTTTTTTTTGGCAAAAATACACTTAACTTACATTTACACCATAGGTATAATCCTGTTTCACACTGTGTTACAATCTGGTAGTTTGCAGTGTAGTTGGTCCCATAAAAGGTATTACCTCACCGACCTTGTCTCTCTAATCTGGTAGTTGGCAGTTTAAGAATAAATCTGTGAGAAATCACGGTTATGATGTAGTAGTATGTATTGTTTGTTTCAGAAAATATGCATCAGTTTTAGAAAGTGAATTGAGGAAAAATATTGTGTATATGTTTTTTATAATTAAAAAGATATTTGAAAATGGGACTATATTACAGACACTGAAAGTTCAAACCAAGTATTGTAGCACCAGAGCATACACAGAGTGCTTAGAGAAATAAAATATTTACAATGTATGACTCAACTTAGACCTTGGCTTCACTGGCGCTGTACGGCGCTGCAACTTGCTGCGCTCAGGGGTGTGAAAACGCCCCCCCGAGCGCAGTGAGTACAGCGCTGTAAAGCGCCAGTGTAATCAGCGCCTGCAGCGCTGCACGCTCGCTCGCAGCGCTGCAAGCTATTCCCCTCGGAGAGGTAGAGTACATACAGCGCTGCAAGAGAGCTCTCGCAGCGCTGGCGGCGCAACTACACTCGCGCTTCACAGAGCTGCCGCGGCAGTGCTGGGAAGTCCTGAGTGTAGCCCAGGCCATAGTGATTTCCTCTCTTCTGTCTGTGGCTGTCTTAATGGGTCTTGCTGATACTCCGGTTTGCATGATGAAATATGACTCAGCTGGAAGCAGAGCTGGGTAAAATTTTTCACACCTTTTTTTGGTTTAAAAAAAAAGCAGATTCAGCTACCCCAAAACATTTCACAAATTTGTGTTAATTTTGCCAAACTGCTTAAGTAAAAAACGACTCAAAAAATTCAAAAGATTTCATTTCTACAGTTTCAAAATGAAGCATTTTGATTTTTTGTTTGAAACTATTTTTCGTTTAAAAAATTCCTTGAATTTTACTTTAAAAAAATAAAAATCAAAAATGCTCAAAATCAAAACAAAACATTTCCGGTTGAAAAAAATGTGTTTGTTCCTAAGCTATTTTTCCCTCTCCTCCCCTCCTCTCCCCCCACTTTTGGAATTGTCATTGAACCAAAAAAAATCTGTTGTTCACCCAACTCTAGTTGAAATGTAATGTGGGGTTTTATTCAAAAACCCCTGGAGGGATTAGCTCACAACAAATGTCTCTGGTGTACACCTGACAACTCTATGACAGTCCCATGAATCAAAAGCAGACTAAGTTCTGAGTCTCTTACATGTGGTCTAGCCCTGATGGTTTGGAATAGCAAGGTCCTTCCTAGAACCAAGTACCTTTCTAGTAATCGAAATACTGCCTTTTTAAGTGTTGTTTGCATTATGAGGTCCAGTTGTCTGTCTCTCCCTCCAGCAGCTTGTATGATCCAGGATTAGGCAGGCATTCTTTCTCCCCTTGCTAGCAATAGGCTGTAGACTTACTGGCACATAATATAATCATGCACAAATGAAACAACCCCAGAACGTAAAACATAAACCACATGCTGTGAAGAATGGCAACCCCTGGGGCATGGAAAAGAGTCAGTGCAACAGACTATGCTAATCTCATCTTCCTCCTCAGAGCAACACCACAGTCATGGCTCACAAATGAAAATATATTTGTATCTTACAATACAGACAGTGCTCAGTGTCAGCTGTACCGTGCGTTGGCCTTCTGTCATCTTAGACTTCAGAGAAGGGCAGACACTACATATCCGTGATGGCGCTTAGAACAGAGGGCAAAAGTGATTGCTTTTCTTTTCTTTTAAATTCAGCTTCTCCTCGTCTCATATGGCTCCAGTGCACCCAGTTTGACACAGTGGGCTGTTTCCATAATGAGTGTTTATCCTCTTACACTCAAACATTAAAAGCTTTTCAGAAGGTTGCCTATCCCAGGATACACATTTGTTAGTTCCGTACCTACCTGTAATATCAAGCTGATTCAGCAGGAGCTCTTACCTCTGGCGAATTCCACCTCTTGGGTCAAATTCAGCCCTCCAGGAGACTGCACCACTCCTGTGGAAGTCAGTGGGAATTGTCTCCACTTTCTGAAGAGATGAATCTGGCCTGAAATATGTAAAGGTACCTTTAGCAGCTTTACTTACATGTGATGGCAAAAGAACAACGCTCTTGATTCCGGTATTGTAAATAGTCCTTAAATTGTGGAGTGTGACTATGCAAATTAGCTTAGCGTAACAATACTTACACAGACATGTAGACAGACATTGGCAACCTGGGTGAGTGGTGACACCAGAGGAAGAAACTGAATGGCTTAGTAATAACATATACTTTGAGGAGGTAAGAAGGGAGTGTAAAATAAAATGGAGAATCAAAACAGGTTTCAAAGACATAGAAATAGTAGCAAGGAAAAAAACCATAATAGAGCATGACTATGCCAGCTGGATTATGTGGAGGCAAGCAAAGAGCTGCCACACAAAATGTGTAATCTTGAAAGCTTGTCTCTCTGACCAACATAAATTAGTTCAATAAAAGATTTATTACCTCACCCTCCTTGTGCAATAAATAAAATAAATGAAAACCTTTTAGCTTGCTTTGAAATATGCAAATATAAATGTCTGCCACCCAAAAAGGCTTCAGCTACACTACAGATGTAAATGAGTCTGCCAACCTAGTTAGAACATGTTATAACTGGCTCAGGACATTGGTAAAAAGCTGTGATGTAAACAGGACTTGAGTATGTAAACAGGGAACAACTGTGTTGGAGCTGGTTCCCCTGACTCAATTACAGTTGCACAATAGACAGGGTCTTTGGGTGTCTGGGTGACCCAGTGCGCTGCATAACACTGCTCCTTCTTTTCTAATAACTCACTCACTTCTTTCCACACCAGTGTCACCATAGGCTTCTTCAAAAGATGCCTTGGGAGGCAGCTGAGTTAGTGAGCAGAGGATTTGCCCTCTACATCCTCATTACTATAAAAGTTGTTTGATTCAACTTCTTATTTCACAGCACTCTTATTGAAAATCCAGGAGACAGCTGGTGTAAGGGAATTGATACAAGCAGAGAGTGCACACAAATAGATTGGACGGCTGTGAGGGGGCAGTATTGGGGCTTTTGCAAGGGCAGCCTGTTCTATGCTTAGCTTTCATGTTAATCCCTTGTGTGCAGCACCCGGAGACACTTGCATTTTGAGTGTTAGGTAATAGCTTTGTCTCACCTTCTCAGGCTTGCAAACATTCTCAGATGACTTAGTGCCATTCTTGCAGACTCAGACAGGTGTCAAGAAGGATTGACATTTTTAGCAAGTCTGAAATAAGCCGTCTGGGAGGATTGCTTGTTATCTGCCTGAATGTCAATTCCTGATAAATAGCTGGTTCAGCTCTAGCCTATTTAGCATTTTACTTGATTCCTTTTGAACTGTTAAATGGAGAATTGGAATTGGCTTTCACGAGGGTCCTGATACCTCAAAACATCATCTTGCTAGAGCTGGATAAAACATGGGTTTGTTTCATTGGTGTTCATGCAGAGAACCTTTTCCCACAGATTTGATTCACATATGTTTGGCTTCAGCTTTGAACAAGCCCCAAAACTCAATTAAAACCACCAAGTTTTAACTGATTTCCCATTGAAACGATAAATCAGTTCAGATTTTCTCAAAACTCAGACTAGGTTCCTTAGAAATGTTCACAAACCTGAATCATCCTTTCATTAAACTCATGCTGTGTTTCTACTTGATGACAAAACCCCAAACCTTGTTTTGGGTTTTTGTAAAGAAAGTCCCATCCAGTTCTTTATCATCATGCTTGTCTGTGAATTAACCAAAACTGCTGATATTAGATGAAACAGCCATTAATCATCATCCAGTCAGGAGACCGTGAGGAGAGTCTGAAGAATGGTAAGCACAACAATGTTGTCTAACACAACTTTTGCAAACTGTTGGTTTGTTTTCCAACAGGCCAGTTTGATTCTGCCACCCATACACAAGGTTATACCAACACCATAGCCTACAGTGAGAATGAAACATCACAGCGTAAGTAGATGATACCTATCTCTCTGGGTATATTTTTCTTTGTAAGATTTCATTAAATAAAAGCTTCTGGATAAAGGAGGCTGGAAACTGAACACTTAGCACAGCAATGCAAACTCACCCAACATTGTGCTTCAAATCTAGCGGGACCTGGGAATTAGCTCCAATGGCAGAGAGTAGCTCAGTCTCAATTTGCCCATTGAAACATTGATCTTTTTGCTGAGTGTCAACATTTGTGGTGATAAATATTAGGATATAGACCATATAAAAATAGGTTGGTTCCCCTAATTTATTTCTCATAGGCCATCAGGTGGCAATGGCTTTCAGTCATTAGTCAGGAAAAGACCAGTCACCTGGTTGCAAAAGATTTCCTAGTTCATGATCATTCTTTTGAGCCAGCCAGTCTCCAAGTATTAATGTTTTCATAGGCTGTAATGTTTGTAAGGCTGAGGCATGAGTGCTGCCTTACAAGCCGTGAGAAGAAATCCCCTATGGCACATTATTCTGTTTGTAATGGTTCACACACAAAAATATAAGGATCAAACAAGGTAATATTGATCGTTCACACCAAAACTGTTTCTGACACATGTTCCTGAATGTTATTTTGTGTTATAATGCAAAGTCTGATATTGGACGCACATGGGGCTGTATTCCTGACAGGAATTCCTAATAAGATGATTGATTTTTTTTTTATTTTTTTTTTGCTTTCCCCTCCACCAATAGATTTATTTCAATACACTTAGAAGAACTTAGCAACTTAGAAAAAAAGACTTATAACAAAAACCTCTCTCTTGAAATGACCTGGGTGAACAGCTGGCACATGAACCCAAACCTTTCCTAGCCCACTGACTTCAGGTTTATGGATTTGAACTTATGCAAGTTGCAGCTGGGCGCAAACTATGTTCTAAAACAGGTAGCATCACATTGTGCTGCTTGCTGTGACCACTCCAAAGTGTAATCGCCCGGCCACAGGCAGGAGTCCAGATTTGGAATTGGGTTGATGATCTTTGTAGTTAATACTCAAACCTCATGTTTATCTAGTCCTCTCCACCTCCACCTTATGCATTCCCATCTCAAGCTCCTGTGGTCAGCAGTGTATTATCGCCTAGGCCGACAAATTTGCAGGGGCGGCAAATAGCAGCATTTTTGTAATTGTGGCATCAGTGATGCCGCGATTCTACCAATCATAGCTCATACTGAAACCACCAATGGTGGCATGACACCATTTAGTAAACATACTCGTGAGAATCCTAAACTGCACTGGACCCCCACTTGTATGCAGGGTTTGGATCCATGTGCGGTCCTGCGCTCTATAAGCGAAATCGCACTATACAAACACGCGTTCAAGTGAGGGTCCGCTGTACTTGTAATTTTATTTAATGATATTTAGATTCATTTTAGTTCAAACGAATTTGTAAAAAAACTAAAACAAGTTCATATGGGGCTGGGGGCGGCAATTATTTCAGGGCCTAGGGGAAGCAAAATCATTAATCCATCACTGCCTGTGGTTGGTGTCTGTGGACTTCACCAGCATGAAATAAAGTCTCATACGGCACACATGGGAAATTACTTGCTAACAAAATATATATATCAAAAGACACTAAAACTAATATTTTAAAAAGTTTCAGTGTAGTGATGATAATGAGTATTGAGGTATTGGATCAGAAGAGCAAGGCATGAGTTTCTCAGAAGCTATGTGGAGTCATTGGTTTAAATCTAGTTTGGGACAGCTGTGACTATAAATTGTTTCCATATCTGGTATCATTGGTGGCCTGTGCAAAATGGGTCACATTTCAGTTTATGGTTGACAGGATGACAGAAACCACTTCCTCCTCCGCCCCCTCCTCCTCCTCCCCACCACCACTGAAGTGGCACTAATTGGCCAAGCTTTGTCGTAGCAGAGAGGGCAAACACTAAAAGGGTCTTGGAGTCTGAACTGCACTTTCACCACGAATGGTGATCAGTGGTTTCATATCAGGTTTATGGCTCACTGGCAGGGCACTTGAGAGGAAGCTGTTTCTGTCTAAGTTATATGTGTCATCATATGCAGGACTTGAGTCTTCAGGCCTGTCAGGGCAGGAACTTTTCTCAGCACCCAAATTGAAACTAAAAATGTTTAAAAATGTCAGGCATAATGGTAAAATTAAAGTAGGTCCTTGGGCAGAACCAGAACATGGAGAGGGTAGTTATAACATATTAAATATATTAGTGGAGAATACAAACAAAGCAAAGAGAAGCAATGAGTTCATGAGACACCTGAATGGAATAAAGCCCTAGTGACAAAAGATTTAGCTAAACCCCGGATAAACAAAACAAAAATGCAAAAAAGTTGTATCAGATATTTTCCTTTTTCGCCAAATCAGTTAATCTATAGTGTGGGGGACATTTTAATAATAATACTTCATTTCTTTCATGCTTGATTTGTGTTTGTGTACTTAGATTGCAACTCTTCAGGGCTGGGAGTGTCTGTTGACTGTGTTTGAAGAGTGTCTAGCAGAGGGAGGCCCTGATCCCAACTGAGTCCTTTCTATGTGCTGCCATAATACAAACGGAAAACACTAATAAGAATAAATATGAAATGCTGTTCAAGCTGCTATATAGAGCAATTAAGATTTTGCAGTAGATGTGTATCTCTGGGGGTTTTTATAGCATGCTCATCCCTATGGGAATTAAGCACTTATTATGTTTGGATAAAATAAGAACTGACGTAAACTTCCATCTAAAACTTGAACTGAATTTTTAAAAAGATGCACAATATTTGATTAACTTATTAAAAAAATTCTTTGACTTCTCTGTTCTGGTCAGAACCAAAAAGCCGCATGTCATGGAAGTCTCATGTAAAGCTAGGGCCATTGTCTTTTCTTTTATCTGTTCAATTATTTAATCTCCCACAGGTTGTTTGTGTGGCTCTTGTGGAATTAACAACCATATTTTGCCAACTAAGTATTGCAATGGAATTTATATTTGAGTATAGTAGGTTTAGGCACCAGACATTATACCTACATTTTTTAGGCTGGTCTGCTATTTCATTTACTGCCAGAGTCCAGAAGACAAAAGGACATAAAATAGCAAAACTAAGCCTAATGTGGCTTGTAAAGTAACTTTTGAAAATGGATTGTTTTTATATAGGACTGAGTGACCCTACTACTGCAGCCCAACAGAGCAACGTGAATACAACCCTCTCCAGGGAGAATGTAACCTTGCCACACCGTAAGTGTTGGAGCAGATCTAAAATGCATGCCGTCGTGTGGTTAATTATTTTATCCGTTGCTTTGGAATAGCGATGAACTGAGGGGGCAGGTCCAGAAAAATGACAATAAATCCTAAGGCAGTACCAGTCACAAATTTGTGTAGCTTGGCTAAACTAGCAAGGTTGGGAAAGGGATGTAACGGTTTACAAGGCAATGAAAGGTAATTTTGTAGTTGTGACACAGTACTTGGGGTTATATTATTGGTTCTTCTACCAAACTCACTTTGTGATTTTTTGGGAAGTCACTTGATATTTCTTGGACTCAATTGCTCCATCTATAGAGCAGGTGAAATGGTTACCTCTCTCCCAGAAGTTCCGTGTGACTAAAGTCATTGTTTAGTGGAGGTTTTTAACATTTGTGACTATTTGTATAAATCTTTGTTTATATCAAATTTAGATCTTCGGTCAAAACTAAAGTTGGCTTTGTCCCTTTAAATGAAAGTGGGCACTCAGATTCTGGCAGTTGGTTTTCAGCTCTTTCAGGCTCTCATGAACTATATCTGGTTATATATTAGTTATATGTTAGTCTCAAAGGTGCCACAGGACCCTGTGTTGCTATATATGGTTGTGACTTCTAAAAATCATGCTCAGTAAAATCAAACACTATTTACATTGTATGTCTATATCTTTTTAGGGAATCTGTCCTCCAGCACAATGGTTGATCCAGCTTTATTTACTAAACTTGATCGTTTATCAACTACAAGGAAATTGATTAATGGTACTGGTAAGCCATTCATTCACAACTCTGTCCTTCATAAATATTTGTAGGTATGTAAGAATTTGAGGGACTAATCCTCGGAGCTCCGGGTAGTTGCACTGGTAATAGAAAACCAACCACCAACCCCCACCTCCCTCCCCCCCCCCCCAAAAAAATCAATCAAACCAGGGCTGTATATGGCGGTCTAATGGCTGTTCATGTCTCCACAATGCAGATAATCACAGCTGCTTTTGGTATTTCTATCCTGGCACATCTTTAGCAAAAGAGCATACTAAGCATGCTACTTGTGGGTAATCACCTATAACTGAAAGATGGTGTTAATCTGTGAAATGTCATGCATTGCAACTTTTAACAACATGGCACACCTATAGAATTCCACAGACATATCAGTGTGTTACTGGTGTTTACCCCCGTTTGCTTACTAGTGGACTGACAACATGGTTTCTGTGCTAAAATATGATTTATTTCAAATCCATTATAATGCAGTACTTTTCACTGGTTGGTGGTAATATGATAATGTTGAGCTTGTGGTTGTGTTATCACTGGCAGGAATGTCAGGTTGTTTTACCCTTGTAACCATCATACAAACAAGTGTTCCAAAAAATTGTAAATGAAAAGTTCCATTAAGTTGCTAGTACTACTAGTAGCACAGTGGGCAGAGCTATTACTGCTGTTGGCTAAAGGAAAAACAACACTGAGTTAAAGTAACAGTTGGAAGGCCAGGTTGTGAACTTTTCACACACATTATATGAGCAGTCTGTCACCCGAGTAGTTAAATTGACTCAAATGGACTAGCACTGTAAGCAACTGTTCAACAATGTGAATAATGAGTTCACACACTGGCCCACAGTAATTGAAAGAGGGCTTTTCCAGCTGCCATCCTTCATAATTTATACCACAGCCAGACCCAATTTTTTGCTTCAAGTGGCAACTCTGCAATGCTGGTGTTGCCTTAAGTTGTATGGAGCCTTCAGTTAGCTCAGTAAGACTCAGTATTATAAAGAGTTAGAGCTTCATTGAATACACTCACCAGCACTGGAAATCTTGTAGAATTAACTAAAACACCCACAACATGCATGAACCTGGAGTGGATTCTTTGAGGGCTATTTCTATGTGGTTAGCAACATGGAGAATCTTTTCAGCACATAATCTCTGCCTAAAATTTAATCAAAATATTTTAATCAATGGTAATGGGCATGGGGCAAATTTAGGAAAACTAGGTCTGTGTCCCCAACTTTGGTGCAGACGGCAACCCTAGTGACATGTTTATGTTGGTTTCCCATTCTCATAGCATTTCTAAAACACAGTGGAAAGGGTATAGGCCAAACTTTTTCAACGTAAATGCTTAAAAGAAAACATTCAAATCATAGTCTGATTTTTCATAAGTGCTGAGTATTTGCAGCTTCAGTTGACTTTGAATGGAGTTGTAATCTCAGCAGCTATGATATGAAGCCATTTAATTATGTGCCTAAATTAGGATTTATGTACTTAAACTGATGCATCTAAATTTGAAAACGCTGACAGTCCTACACAGGTTGGGGTTGCTGTATAGATGTGTGGGTGAGAGAGTTACCTGATTAATTATATAGAAATCCCTTTTTTGTGTGTGTAGGGGGGGCAGGATGTTGCTTTTCCTTGTGAACTGGAGTTTGAATTATGGCTTTTTTCTGTCTCTTTTGCAGGCCTGGTGGGGAATGCAGAGAATACTCGCTTCTCCTGGCCTGCGGTTGTAGCAGTCTTGCTTCTGTTTTGTTCTTTTCTAATCATTTTAGGAATCAGAAAATGGTGTCAGTACCAAAAAGAAATGTAAGTATTAGTATCAAAAATGGTGAGCAGAAATAGAGATATTAGTGTGGATTCCAGCCCAAAGTTTCAGAATGAAGTTCAGATAATTATCTTATTTTGTAGATGCATGTGTATGTGTACATGGGTAGAAATGAACAAGTACAGACATACAGTTGTGTGAAATACATAATTGAAGCTTAATCTCATTCACTGTTCAATATGCTTCAATTTAACATTCCACATAAGAGAGCTTAGTTCCTTATTAAATGTTTGGGGAAATATAGGGATGGCAAACTAAACCACTTTAAAACATACCCTGGTTATTCTGAACTTGCAGTTAACTGCAGTAAGATTATATTTATCCTTGGATTGTTAACATCTTGGGACTGGGCTTTTCGTTCATGGAGGCCTGTAAATCTCCATGCACAGCTGTAAATCTTTGTAAATGTTTCTCCAGATATCAATGCAAGCAACAGCTTGCTTCCTTATTTATCCAAAGGTTTTGGCTTTCACCACAGCACTTCAAGTTGTAAAAGATGTGTGTTGTCCCCAGCCCTCCACCTCTGTGTACAAGAGAGCTCACATCAATGCCAGAACATGGTTTTGAGCTGTAAAGTAGAATATGTAGGTGAGAGAACAGACATGAGTTCTACAGAATGTTAGAGAAGAATGAGGCCAAAATTCTTTCTTACCTTTTGTCCTTATATCTCTTCCCATTTTCCCTAATAACTTTATATTGATTTTTACATCATTAGCTGTTGTGTTTTCAAAGACTTTTTTTTTTAATTCTAGTATGAACAGACCTCCATCTTTCAAGCCACCACCACCTCCAATAAAGTACACAACCATGCTAGAATCTGATGGAACTAACCCATCCTGCCATGAACTGGAAACTTTGTAATGTTTCTTGATGTACTGAAGAATATTATATCTTGTAACTGAGTAAGCCTTTTAAAATGCAGATTGCTGGAGTTTAGTCTGAATGACCCATATTCAGAGTCAAACTTCTTAAACTGACAAGGTCAGAAGCAAAGCACTCCTGAGTATGCTTTCTCATCCATTTAGATATGCATTCATCTGACAGACTGAAGTCTAACTGCAGCACATTAGAGATTACAGGTGCTCAGCTTGGATTGGATGATCAGATGGGAATTTGCTGTCTTAATAATGGGAGTGGATTAGTGCATGTGTCACTTCATTAATCTGCCTAGAAAAAAACGTTGAAGCATTTTATTTTAGTATGCCTATAATTATGAGCACTTTAAGCATATGGCAGACATAATTACTCCACAGTCTTGGTGATAATTTTGGAAGCTTTCTGACACATGTGTGAACAGGGTTTTTTTAAACTATAATCTTTCTTACTATACAAATACTGATATACAGTGAGGTTAGTCAATGCTAAACCTAAAGAGCAGAAACATTCATTGTAGGACGATAGTCCACATATATCATCACTGACCTCCAATGTGGACTCACTTGAAAAGGCTGATGTGAGAGGAGGCTGCTGTTTCCTTCTCACATGATCTGCTGCGAAGACCTGCTGCATATATTGAAACTGCCAGACCAAGGAGAGGTCAGGCTATCTAGCGAGCCATCTTGAAATGGAAGACCTAAGGACTGAAATGCATAACAATCCAAGGGGATGATAATAGAAACGGTGACTGCTTCCAGGGACGATAGCTATTGAAAATAACAATTGTTCAAAGATAAAAATATTTTCTGAAGTATATTTATGTATCAAATATATTGATCTCAGTAGAGAAAAAAGGAACACAGTTCTTCATTTTTCACTCCTCAGTTGTAAATGTGAGCAGGGAGAATCCTGCTGGGAACTGGTTTAATTCGTTGTATTTGCTAAATATCTTTTAATATTGCAAACAATTTTCAGACATGTATGAAGTCAGGCTTCAACTGGAAGCAGTACAATTAATGAAAGGAAATGCCATCATGATAAAGTGTGTGTTTCACAAGGAGCCAAATTCAGACATGGTAAAGTTGAAAATGATGTGCTGGTTTAGATATGCAGCACTTTCTACAATAGAAGTGGAAGATGAGTGTCATGGAGTTTACAAATGCTATTGTATTCCTCATAGCTTTAAATGAATGAGTTATGTGCTAGGAAAAAGAAATTAAGAAACTGTTCCCTCTAAAATATGGGACAGAAGAGTATGCTATGCTGTTTGTCCGTTTTTAGTTAAATATCTGAGGTTTATAGCAAGCACTTTTCTTCATAAAGAACTTAACACGCTTCACATGCACAGAATACGGATCAGCTTTTCCATACTAAAATGCATCTAAATCTAGTGTAAAACATAGCAGATGATTAACTGCACAGAACCATTTACATAACGTTCAAGACAAAAAATGAAGAAAAATGTCATCCACTTAAAACTCATGGGAAAATATAGAAAGGCAAATAATACCCACGTTGGAATGCAGTTGGGATGCTGCTGCAAGCTTAGTTAAAAAATTAGCAAGGAATCTTCAATGACTGCAAGTGGTCACTACCTTGGTTTTAATAAATGATCCAAAAGATGTTACCTCCAGGGCTTAGAGGAAAGAATACCACCTTTGTAACTAACTTCATTTCTGGCACCTCCCTGGGTTTTCCTTGGATGTTTTTGACCCAAGGCTAACTATTACAGGGTTTTCCAGAGCACCCTTCACTACCATATAGAAGAGCTTCTCTGTGACATAAATCTGCCCAGCAATATCCGTGCTGGACTTCATGCAGGCTTCTGCTCTTTTCCCCTCCCTGGTTAAAGGAAGTTCTGCTTGAGGAGTGATTGTAGTTTTGATCATCATTTTGCCGGCTTCCTCAAAGACTTGGGATCTTGTTGTCTGCCTTGAAAATGGTCAGACTCTGGTTTAGACAATCCTTTCATGTAGCTGTTTCAATAGCCAAACTCCCTAAGCCAAGGATGCTCTGCCTTCGGCTCCCAGGAACTTTGTCCTGAGCACTGTGAGCTACCTTTCCCCAAGGATGCAAGTGCCTGGGCAAGTCATGGAGGAAGACTTGGATGCTTCTCTCTCTGGGAAGAAGAAAATGGAATTACCACAGGTTGACACCAGTGTCAGAACCCAGTCCCATGAGTTCATTGTAATCCTAAGGCTTTCTGAAACTTAATATGTATTTTCCTATTTTTTCCCTTTTCATTATCTATTTTATTTTCAAGACTCATTATTCAGCCACCCAGAGAGAAAAATGAATGCCATCACAAATTGATAAGTCCATTTATGTGCATATACCTATGACCATGGTGTCTTTTCCCATAGAGTTCCTGCCCTCATAATATGAGGTGGTCTGTGTCACATCTTGTATTTCACCCTGTACAGCTTTTTATTTTATTTTATTTTTTTTTTACTTGAAGTTGTAAAAGAAATATTATGTGGGTGTAATGCCCTGTTATCACCAGAAGATGGCTCCACAGCTGTAAATTTAATTCTCTGGTTACTAAAGTCATAACAATAAAATGAACATCCTTACTACATTTTTGTTGGCCACAGGTGAAATAATTATTGAAAAGGTATTGATGAGTATTAAAAACATTTGATACAAAATTTCCTTCAAAAACAGATTAATTAATGAGTATGAAACTCATAAGCTGCAAAATTTGCTCCAAAACCCAGATAAATATACAGTATAGGTCCTTCAGTTTTAAGAAAGTTATTTTCTAGAGTCTCCTTCCTTGCACTACATAATGTGTTTCTCCAATACAGGCTAGTGTGAGAGAAGGCACTTGAAGACTGATCTTGTTCGGAAGCCATATCAGCTCATTATGTATAACCATTTTATTCTAGTACAAAGCCATGTCTTGAGAGAGAACTCAGGGACTGGATGGCTCAGAAGGTCAGTTCTGGGATTTATAGATTTCACCTCTAGGTTACAATTGTCACTTCAGACTTGGCTGTTAGTGACTGTTGGTCGGATCACTGTTCAGTAGCCTATATGAAATGTCCTGGGTAGACTCAGTCCACTAGGTGGAAAAGTGTCCACATCACCAAAGCCATCCCAGAACTGACACGTTTGCAGGCAGAGCTGAGAGAGGTAAGGAGTGAATGAGCATTGACACTGAAGTATCTTCTTGACGCTCTAGGTGGTCTGTTCCTGCCTCACAATGGAAGCACATGGGCAAGGGGCCACATAATGGATGCATGCATCACCATTGCCCTGGTCCACCAGTTAACTCCTCTGGTCTTTATTTGCTTTAACAAAAAACCTCTGTGGCAGATGTTTTTCCTTTCCCCTTTCTCACCAGCAGCACAACTGAGCAGCAGGTATAGCAGGAAGGAAGAGCTTGTGGCTTCTAACTCTTTTAGTAGAACACCAAAGGGCACCCTCAGGAGGAGGGAGATGCTCATAGTCACCAATCATGTTAGGAATATTTCTTTGGTGGGGGTGGAGGGAGAAGGCAATGTTGGGGAGAAGGAGAAAGGAAGTATCTAATTACCAGCCCCAATCACATCACCAGGGCCGTCCCTAGCCATTTTGGTGCCCTACGCAGCCCTCCCATGGAGGGGTGTGTGGCCCCAGGCCTCCGTGGGGGGGGGGCAGGAGCCAGGCTTGCGGGACAGGGGGAAATTGCCCCCCAGCACGAGCTGGCGGAGCAGA